TGTGTGTGTGTGTGTGTGTGTGTGTGTGTGTGTGTGTGTGTGTGTTAAGGCTCACATCGTGTTGTGATTTAATGGTTGAAGGTGGGTCAATTTCGCTCATTAGCTTGGATTTGTAGTCGTACTGAATCTAACACGATGTTGATGTTTATGGTGAAGTGTTGTGCGACAGAATTCAGACGTTGTTTTTGTCTAAGGTGGAAATGAAACAATTCTTAAAGGTATAACCCAGTGACTGATGAACTGGACAGAGGTGTTTGTCTACTAACTGGCTTCACTCGCTGTGTTCAGGTCTGGACGTGGACGGGATCTACAGAGTGAGCGGAAACCTAGCCGTGATCCAGAAACTACGACACAAAGCCGACCACGGTAATGCGTCGCTGACTCAGTTCATGTTCGGTAACGGTCACGTGATTTCTCCCTGGATTCAAACGGTCTGATGGATCGTTCAGACCTGCGGCGGCAACACGAAGCTGTTCGCGTCTAACAGACGGATCTGAACCCAAAGTCTGTTTGATCTAAAGTTTGGTTTCAGAAGACTGAAGCTGTCCTCTGTTTCTGCAGAGGAGCACTTGGACCTGGAGGACGGACAGTGGGAGGAGATTCACGTGATCACCGGCGCTCTCAAGCTTTTCCTGCGGGAGCTTCCAGAGCCGCTGTTTCCCTTCAGCGTCTTCGAAAAGTTCATCGCCGCCATCCGTCAGTACACACGCTGTTTGACACATACATGTTAATACACAGCAAAGGAAATGTCACACACTGTACCAGACCTGCAGTAGCCCTGGTCTACTCGTGTTTTTATCTTATGTCTTTAACCCAGCTCTTACCTGAAGGAGGGTAAAGCTGGGCATACACTTTTTTTTCAGTCGCGTTATTCAGCTCCTGCTCAAACTGCACGATTGACTCGCAGGGGTGAGAAGTTCGTAGGTCACGATGCAGGTCTCACACTATACGGCCCGATGCTCTGATGCGACCTGAGTGCTCACACTGTGCGTCCATAACATGAAGCTTATAACACAAAATCTGTCGCTCGCTCTGTCTTTCACTCACACAGACTCGCATCGATCATCGAACATCAAACATCAAACATCAGGCAGCTGTGATTGAGCAACAATGTAAATCCAACTGTTTTCACTCTTTCTAGACTCATTGGAACGGCGCATACATTTGCACACACACAGTTCCTCAGTGAAGCAGGAAAACCTGGGACATTACTTGCAGATCTCCATCTCTACATGCATCCTGACAATCCTGCAGTTTTTACATTACGATTTTACTCTAACGACACCACAAGCGTAGCCGGACGTACAGCAGGCTGGAAAAAGGGCCACTTTAACATCATCTGAACACAAGTCAAAGTTAAGAACCGACACAACTTACAGCACTGCGCATCACATCATCATCATCATCATCGCCAAGATCACTTTTCTAGATATGACCCAAGGATCTCACCACTCCAGGTCTGCTAAATAAAAAGATCCTTTGTAGTTAAAGCAATCACAATAACTCTTTTTAGGGTTAAACAAAATATCACACTGGGCTCCATAACAGCACAAACTCTAAGTAATGATTAAGAACATCACCCACACAGTCATTTAACATGACATCAGGACACAAACTGAAGAGAACTGGATGTTCTGACTCCAGTTAGTAAACTTTTCTTACTCTTACAGCTCGTTGTGCTGAAGCTCATATTCCTTTGAATGAAGCAGACAGCATTCTTAAGTTATCATTAACAATTTTCTCATGTTCACTTACGTTTTTGTGCAAACTCTTGGCTTTCCAGCACTAATAATATTAGCCTGCATTAAATATTTGTAAACTCGAACAGCTGAACACATCTGGAGATTTAATACATCACTGCTTAAACATGAAGACTTTATTAAATATTTTTAAAAAGAGTGGACTCTATATTTAGACTATAATGACACTCCCGGAACATCAGCTCGTGTGGGACTAATAAAGGTTATCTTATCTTATCTTATGATGTGTTACTTTTTCTCCAAAACTCACAATCCAATCTCTCTGGGGTCATTGCATTGATAAACTCTTTTGCAAGAATATCAGATTACTCAATTTACTGGTCAAAATCTACAGTCCTTCCGATGAATTGCTCCTTCCATAATTCTTCTGCACGACTACATCTGATAAGTTGTAAATGTGCAGAGGTTGACCGAGCAGTCGACTCTTCCAGTCAGGTCTCCTGGTGTCACGGTGACCACAGAGAAACACAAAGTAACGAGATCGCAATAATCCCAGCACACGTTTGTGATGAGCGATACACCAAAAGTGCCGTCATGCCTCTAAACTGTCGTAGTACAGAACCTTAGCTGTGTGTGTGTTTGCAGAAGTCCCAGACTACAACCTGAGGGTGTCCTACATGAAGGATCTGGTGCAGACTCTTCCTCTACCGAACCACAACACCATGGAGCTGCTGTTCAGACACCTGCGAAAGTGAGTTTGCTCCAAGGCTTTATGAACCAGTGCAGACAGACAGCGGAGTGAGCAGTGCCCGAAACACTGCTAACTCGGCCAGCCTGCTCTCTGCCAGATAACCCCTAACAGTCCTAGTTACACACTGGGTAAGGGTGTAGAATGCACTGGATCATGGCAATGGTGAAATAGATCTGTAACTCCCAAATAATCAGTCAGCTAAAATAAAATTAGTCTGCAAGTGGAAACGAAGCAGCAGAGCATGAAGGTGATTAGGTCTGCTTTGGAAACAACGTGTATCTGTCTGTGCCTCTCCAGGGTGATCGAACACAAGGACTCTAACAGGATGTCGGTTCAGAGTATCGCCATCGTGTTCGGACCCACACTGCTTCGCCCCGAGACTGAGTCGGCAAATATGACGATTCATATGGTGTTCCAGAGCCAGATTGTGGAGCTCTTGCTCAACGAGTTCCCGACTGTTTTCTCAGAGAGCTAAAAGGAAACTCCTGGAATTTACTCTGCGTCCTGCGAGAACCCTCAGAGGACGCGAGTCTTCCAACACCCTCGAGGACATTGGACCTACACACCCCCTCCTCTCTGACCCAGGAGCCAAATGTGGGAATCTGAGAGGACCACCTGATACCGAGGGTTGGCTCTGAAACCTCTTCACTCCTCTTTAAAAGGAGCAGACCCAACCTGACGTTTTATTGGCACCTTAAAACCATCAAACATGTGACAACGACATCTTTTGCCAGACTTGTAGCTCTCTGGACCGAAACACAGGAACTGATCCTGGGTAAACCTCCAGGACAGGTTTGAAACCAGCATGTTTGTTTCTCCTTCAAGACAAAACACCAAAGTGGTGAATGTCCTGTTAAACCTCTGAATGCCTCACAGTAAACCAGACTGGTTCAGGACCCTTTGAGAAACTCGTGGAACTCTGAACTCATCTTCTGTTGCCTTTTTGTTTTGTTTTTTCACTCTGTGGATGTTAAACTTTGACCCGGGACCTGCTGGCTGTGTTGCCTAGACCCAAAAACCCTTTTTATAAATTTCATATATATAAAATGTAAATGTTGAGTATATCATGTCGGCATCTCAGCATCACGCCTTAAATGAGCTAAAACACAGCAGAGCAAACAGTATCCTGATTGAATGGCACCGTCTCAGGATCCTGTGCTTCTTCACTGTACAGACACGATCCTTCCAAGTATTTTTAAATTTTCAGACCCTCCTCTGCAGATGACTGGAAATTTACCTTCAAGGTATGACTTGGTGTGACTTTCTGGTTCACAGAAAGTTACACCAACCCAAAGAGGGTGTACAGAGTCTCCCTGGCAGACTGTGGAGAGCAGCTGCACATGTGATCCTGAGAATCTCCATCCACCTGTTCAGGTATATCTACCAGAGCAGCCACCAGTCTGCGCTGCATTCACTGATGCTGGGAAACAGATTCACACGGCAAAATAATTTTCTACATCAGTGTTGACACCATGAGTATGTTGAAGTTAAATAAAACATGCAACGTATTAAACACTGGATCAAACTCTAGACTTTATGATGTGATGATCATAAATATGGAGCTTCATCAGCAGATGGAACATTATAGAAAACGTATGTGAAACGCTCGACTCCGAACGAGAGACAGAAGCTTTAGCGACTGTTAAACTGTAGATCTGAGTGAAAGGAGGCTCCACTGAACACAGAACAAAGGATTTAAAACTACATGACGGCCAGGGGTGGATTTTACAGGACAGTTCTTACTGGTGTAAATAGTTATGTATGTTTTTATAGCAGTGAGTTTCTATGCACTACAGATGCAGAACTAAGTTACTTTGTTAGGGAAGATATTCCTTTCATATTCCTTTCTGTACAAGAGGGCATTTTCCTGACTTTAGTTTGAAATAAACTGTCGTGTATGACGGTGTCCTGCTGGGTCTGCTTCTCTTCAACACACCCAGAAATCAAACACATCAAACTCTTTATTTAACACAAATTCACCAAAGGACTAAAACCACAACCCCAGACAGAAATATAACCTGCAAAGATGGCTGCTAAAGCCTCGACAAGCCAAAGTGTGAATCATCAAAGGTCAACAAAGAGCTGAAGCTTTGGTGGGAGGACTCACAGATGTGCTGCTCCACGCTTGGTTACTGGCGTTCCTGGCATCATAACAAAAATGACCAATCACAGTGCAAGCTAGCAAAGCTTCCATCAGCAAGTTGCATTAGCCCAGCTAGCTGCCTGTTAGTAACTTTGTTCGCATTGTGTTGTCCGTATTCAGTAGCCGCTGTCCCAGTTTATTTGCATAATGTGACTTCATTGGCTAACGGCCGCTGAATAAACACGAATAAAAGACAAGAGCAGTTAGAAATCTCAGGTTTTCGGATCCTTTGTTGTGAAACTGTGTGTCATACATGCTGTATCGCCTCTTTGTGTTATTTGGGAGATGTGATCATGGTAAACTGTTACCATGGTACCAGCTGCTCGTCGGACGATGCTCATCTTCTGCGGTTTCAGCTGAGACGGTGATGTGGATTGTCGAGCTGCATTGGACCTGAGGGTGTAAAATAAAACTCGTCAGAAGCTTTCACATCATGATCAGCAGCTGCTTCATTCTTGTGCTTCAGAAATATGTGAACAGGTTCTTCTTCTTCTCTGAGCGCTTACAGAAACGACACAAAACACCTGAGCTGTGAATCCTGATCAGTCTGCAGCAGATTTTACTTTTCAGGAAAATATTCACTAAAAAACTCTTGAGTACAAATGTTTGTTCATGTTAGTGCATCAACAACAAAGGTGGATATCAAATCTTTGACCTGTTTTACTTCATAGGAACAATTTAAGGAAGGAGTCATCTCATTCAGATCTCAGTCTTCGTTAAGAAGGCATCAGCTTAAAGTGCTGACCCGATAACATCCCACCCAGGATATAAAAGACTTCCTGCTTCCTGCAGTGGAAAACTCTCTGAAAACAAAGAAACTTTCAGATTTAAATTATCAGATTAAATCAGGCCAGGAAGAGCTGAGCTGCTCCTGTGCTGTGGGTTCACCTGTGTTGTTGCTCATACATTCCAGACTCTCAACCAGGTCGTGCCTCCCCACCTTCTCCAGCACAGACTTGGCCACCTGCAGAGCATCAGAGCTGTTACTGTCCATCTCTGCTCAGGACAGCTTTAGGACGACTCTAGCTAGTTAGTAAAAAGGTTCTTTGTGCCAACATCAGTCAGTGTGCTGAATAACGAGATGCTGGGATGTGTATTGTTGCGCTGAAGTTTTGTATATGTACATATGTACATACATGTGTAAATGTGGGTTGATATGAAGTGACTCGATTGATCCGTTGATGAACTGGAAACAAATTTCCATCGATATGGAAAATAAAGTTATTCTATGCTATCGTTCTGATCCAGGTGCAGTGGATTTATCTGGGCTGCAGGGGGCGCCAAACTTCACACACAATAAAAGATTCTTAATGAAATATTTCAGGTGTGATGTTAACTGTGATTAATGGAATACTTCATCAGCTCCTTCCTCGTAACATACTGCCTGAAATAAAAACTGCACCACCACAAAAACCAGAGACGAGAGAAGCTGCAGAATAAGCAAACACCAGCATTTCTCTTCCTGTTCACTGCACTGAGCTCGACCTGCAACCCGAACACCTTCATCTTGTCTAATGTGATCGCCTTTAACATTCTTAGTTCGTAACTTCTTACAATGAATTGTGCCACAAGGCTCAGTTGACTGCATGTTTCATTTCTTTACGATTGTGTGCTACATATACACTATATATGACATATAAAATACATAAACCTATGAGATGCTGTATAGAAATATTACCTTATCAGCTAATATTACCGAAGTAGAAAGTGTGGAAACAGTGGAGGCTTCGTTATGGCTTCCTGTTTGGTTTATAAGTCACTGTGTAGGGACGGTGATCCTGATCCTGTCCGGATTCGTTCGGATCACAATCATCAAATCTTTCTCTTATTTTTTTTTAAATATTTCTCCTGTTTAATATTTATATTTTATTCCAGCACAGATGGTGTGGCGCGCTATTCTATTCTGTTTTGTACAGGCGGATCCCAGCCCTGCAGTTCCGCCAGCGGCCACAGGCGGCAGCAGCGAGCTGACATCGCTCAGAGAAGAGGAGAAGAAGACGCGAGCGGCGCGTCGTCATGGAAACGGTTTGTTTTCGATCAGAGACGAGAGAGTTCACGGAGGGAGTGAGAGCGCCTGAGTTTAGGTGAACACAGAGAGGATTCCGGCTGTTACAGGTGAGCACTGACGACAGACTCGAGCTGCGTTCAGGACCCAGTCGTGTTTTCAACTTCCGCTCGATCAAAGCTGCTTTAGTTAGCAGCTGTGAGGTCACGTGACCAATAACCGTGTACACTATTAGATCGGTGTAGCTGATGTGATGTCACCGTGGTGTGAGCTGCAGCAGAGGGAGGAGGGCTTTATGTGACCTATCTGCTTTCTTATTAGAATTCCATCAGAAGTGATCTTAGGCTCACTTTTATTTTTCTGCATTTCTGATGATCTCAGTACTTAAACAGGAAGTTCAGTCCGTGACTTACAGGAAGTCAAGAAGCTGTGAGACATCATCAGGAGATGGCAATGTCACAGTGTGACGTCATCGACTTCTCTGCATTGGAGAGAGAGCTGCAGGTGGCAGTCGAGTCTGAGCGGCGACATCAGCGTGAGAACGACGCCAAGCTGAGAGCCGTCTGCCAGAGAGCGTCCTACGACCAGTTCAGGTAGGCGGCTCCTGGAGAGGCCTGGACCTCTTTCAAAGCATTTCCAGGGTCTTTGGATGAGTTCCAGGAGATTTTGAGCTTTGGTTGGCAAGGCCTGCTGAGTCCAGCAGGGCCCTGGTCAGTGATGCTTTAAAGGTTTTTCTCACAGCTGGGTGTGGTTTATATGCCCCTCAGAGACCTGGTCCTGGCCTGCCACATGAAGCCTCTGGAGAAGAAAGATAAAGACGGCACACTGCGGAAACAGCCCTGGAACCCCGTCGCCCCGAGCAACAAGTGATGTCCACTCACCTGGACCAGCGTGGACTGACACGCTGTAACCCACAGAGTCTTTTATAGTCCTGCTGTGATGTCAGAACATGTGACACATGATGAAATCTGTAAACAGGAAAAGAGATCAGATGTAACAATTCATCATTTCTAATAAACCTGAAGAACGTGAACCATTCTCCCAGCATCACTGACTCCTACACCTGTCCACTCACCTGTGAGCTGTGGACGTCTTTCACTGTACTGACCCAACAGCCCGGTGGCGCCAGTGTCCGGCAGCCTCGCCCCTGTCAGTGCGCCCCAGGGTGGC